AAAAAAAAAAGAGAAAAAAATCAATTAAAGGAGAAGAGAAAAAAAAATAAATGAAGAAGAGTAGAAGAAGAAGAAGAAGAAACGAAAGTGGGAGAGAGTACATGGTATTTAATAGAGAGAGAGAGTGAATGGGATATTAAATCCCATGAAGTTAGGTAACAACTCCCAATAAATCAGCCTTAGGAAAAATAATAGTCTCGTAGAAATGCAATAATAGTTCTGTTGTATCGTGTCAGGAGTAATTTTTTCATAAGAATAATTAGATAACCCAAATTGTATTAGAAGAAGTGTTATTTGTATTTTGGCATCTTTTGTTGTACTTGTATTTTAGCAATTTTAGTTGTAAATGTACACTATAAAAGCAACCGTACAAACCCTAATAACTCACTTTACATTTTTGCTATTTAATCCATCCATCTTCTTCTTCTTCATCTCACCCTTTTCTTTCTCTCTCTCCTTTCTTTCAATCCAATAATTATTCCCATGTGCACCATCCGTCACAGAAAGTCATGGAGAGTGATTGCAGCGATTAAAGGAAATTAAGTGCGTAACCACTCATACCAATAATAAACCATCAATCAAATAATTAAGCAATTTATGTGACAAATGACCACGACACGGATCATATCATATACACACTAGGTTAAAGAGTACTCGACACTGAAATCGACTTTCACGTGCCAACAAAATTCTGCCCCATCGATATTGATGTCCGATTAATTTTTTTTATTTTTTTTTCCTCATCAAATTAGTGCCATCTGGACACATTTATAGAGTCATCATTTTTATTTTGACCACTTCATTTTCATTATTCTGACATTAAAAATAGGATAATTACGAGATTTTTTTTTTTGTTTTTTTTTAAATGTGTCAAATTTAAAATTTAGAGACAAATTTTATCTGTTCATATCATCAGATCAAGAAAATGGCATTGGTTGGTCTTGGTTCAGGATTTATGATCTTTTGCTACAGGACCATTTATGTATTGTTGGGATGATGGGTCCATTTTCTTTATGAATGAAAAGAAAATGGTCTCTTTTTCTTATATATATATATATTTTTTTTTTCTGCCTTCCAAGTTCCAATTTTCGCATTCTCATTTCTATATTTATATAATAAGAATTAACATTTATCCAAAATAGTAGGTCAAATTATGGTCAATGTCGAATTTGCATTAATATTTTCCAAAACTGGTAAGTTTTTGTCTTTTTCACATTTCTCATTAATTATGTCTTTTTCACACTTGTCATTAATTATGTCCTTTTCACACTTGTCATTAATTATGTCCTTTTCACACTTGTCATTAATTATGTCCTTTCCACACTTCTCATTAATTTTGTCATTTTCACACATCTAATTAATTCATTAATTACGACATAATTATCATAAATCATTCTATCTGAGCTTTAATCGTTAAAATGTATAGCGATCTGTTATGACTTTATCCCATTGATATTTCCATGAAGCGTCGCGTTCTATTTTTTGGTAACCACTCTATATCAATAACCGAATATTTGGTTAATGATAGCACACGTCTTTATTTCAATGAGCGGATATTCTTTGACCTTTAATTAATCTGAACTGATTGCCTTGACTTTTCAATTTTTAAAAACTCTTTTTTTTTTAAATATTTTGGCTTAAGATTCGAATTTCATTATACAAGTCATCGGATTGTTTGAATGAAAATGAATGAAAAGAACACCAAAAACAGGTAGCTTTATTCATATAATCAATCCTAAAATATTAGTTTGTTCACCAAAAAGAGACAAATCCTAAAATATTAGTTTGTTCACCAATCCTAAAATATTGGTTTTTTCACCAAAAATATTAGTTTGATTTTTAGGATTTGTCTCTTTTGAAAATATTAGTTTGTGATAATGAGGAGTTACCAAATAATCAAACTCATAATATTGTGTACAAGGAGGTTTTTAATAATATATGATTGTTACCGAACTTTTTATGATTCAACAATGTTCCTATGTATTTTAATGATTTCAATTTCGATCCTAATGCACGTGAGATTATATTATTCTTTCAAATGTTACATCCCGTGCATCGCACGGGTTACGTACTAGTTTTTATTGAACTTAGGTAGCCGCTCGAATCTCCGACTTTCTTATGAAGCATTATTTAGGGAATTTTGGCAATAAGGGGGAAAAAAAATCACAACGTCATTTCATTTAAAATAATTTTGAAAGATCATCTTATAAGTATTCTGAAAAAAGTAGGAGGAAAAAAAATTTACAAGAAAACATAACTATCTAACTAATAAACAACCTAACCATAACCATAACTAGTTTTACCTCGTGCATTTACACGAAAAACGATATAATAGAAGAGAAATTACTTAAAAATATAGAATAAAATAAAAATCATAAAACAAAAAAAATAATTTAAAAAAACGAATCTAAATATTACTAAACATTTTTTCATATGCAACCGTCGTGGTTTTTCTATCATCAGATTCTCTGTCACAACACATCATTATCGTTAAACTTCTTCGACTCGTGACTCTAGAATTTGATTTTTCAAAATATTTGATGTATCTTTGTAATATCCGAAAAAATATTTTTTTATTAGTGTATGACTGCAATAGAAACCGAGATATTTGTAGTCATTCTTAATTAATTGTGAAATATATATCTATATAATACCAAAAAATATATAATATCACTATAAAAACAAAAATATTTTTTATTTGTAAACATAAAAAGGCGTTACAGAAACGGACACCATTTAAAATCGAACCTGTCAAAATAAATTGTGTAACAGAAAGTTACATATTGTTATTAAATGGTGAACGTATTTTTATTAAATGAACACCTATTTTTATTAAATAAACTCATATTATTATTAATTGTTGGTTGAATAAAATTTATTGAATCTTGCCAACAATTATATATATATATATATATACTAGCATCCCAAACACAATATGACAATGAAAACCGCCAAAAATCCAAGGATGAACTAACAAAAACCATTTTGAAAACAATATGAACCATGATGATCAAANACAAGAACACAAAACCTCAAAACAAAGTAAACAAACATATCCACACCGATGTAAATTACCGAACCTAACGGCCATCAACCGACGTAAACGACTCGGCAAAACCCGCAGGCCTAGACGGTATACTCCCTTTGCTATCATCAAGATCCATATAACTCACATCCTTGCCCTCAGCCTCTTGCCAATCCTTCACCATTTGGTCAAGCGGCAGACTGTAGTCAATGCCACAATATTCCTCAGTCTCATCATCGAGTGGCCTCCACTTCTCAACTAACGAGGCCAGCACATTGACTGCATGGCCCATATCGGGCCTCTGTCCGGGCTCCCGGGCTGTGCAGTGGCCCGCGAGCTCTGCCACAATGGACACGCTCTTGCGGGCCTCGCCCTTGACATCCAGTGGCGGGTCGATTGAGGCCCACAATTTGTCCGTGCTAGATTTCACTTGCCAGAAGTAAGAGACAAGATACTGGCTTTCTTCGGGCCGGGCTTCGTCGAGGGCCATCATGCCGGTTAGCAGCTCCATTAGGACAACTCCGAAGCTGAACACGTCAGATTTTGTGGTGATTTTGCCCATAACTTGAAATAGGAAGAATCAACATGATTAGATAACAGTTATAAAAAGTAAGATTAGTGGGCAAAGAGCAATTTATGGTAACAAGTTATAAAAGTAAGATTGTTCAAAATCATTTCAAGTGAACAAGAAAAAAGCTTCAAGCTTTCTTTCAAATGGAAAATCTCTGTTCAAATTATAGGAAGGGTTACATAGTGGTAAAACTAGCCGATAAGCTAGATTATAGCTTATCAGTAATTTCCGAGCTTATAGCTTATAGCTGAAAAGATAAAAGTGTTTTGTAAAATTAGCTGATAAGCTAGTAGAAATAAAAAATTCAACGAGCTTATTTGAAAAGCTACCCAAAGAAGTTAATGAGACAATTTAAAAAATCTCGTCCTACCAAACGAAACTTATTTAAATATAAGAAACTTAACCAAATAAGCTATAAACATAGCCATAATATTGTCTAGGCTTGCCCAAATAATCTCTCTTTTGTTATTTTTCTGATTCACAATACCAATTTAAAAAAGGACCTGCAAGTGAACCACATTTTTTTACCAGCATATTCAGGCGCGAGATAACCA